TATATATATATATGTATACTCTATCTATACAAGATGTATAGATTTGTTTTCTATGCACATCGCTGCTGATATAGATGGAAGCAACCCGACAACAATTTTATTTATTTATTTAAAGAAAAATAAATAAACAAAAAAACAAAATAAATAAATATAAAACAAAACAAAATAAATATAAATATAAATAAATAAATAGTAAAACAAAAGAATACAAATAAATAAATAATAAAAACAAAAATAAATAAAAAATAAAAAAATAAATATAAAGGAGTTCAGTAATACCATATGAACAATTAAACAGCAAAATAAACTAAACATAACAAACAAAAAAATTAAAACAATCAAATAAAAATAAAATAAATATAAATAAAAATAAATAAATAAATAAATAAATAAAAATAAATAAATAAATAAATAAAAATAAATAAATAAATAAATAGAGTCGGCAGCAGCAGCTGAGTGCTGGGGGGCCCCCCGTGCTGCAGCGTTTGGGTCTTCGGGTGTCTATGCAGCTGTTTTTGTTTAGTGGGAGCAAAATTTTAATTAAATTAATTAAATTAATTTAAATAATTATATTAAAATAATAAAATAATTAAAAAAACGCTGCTGCGAGCACCCTGCTGCAGTAAGCGATAGGTCGCAGCCAACAGCAGCTGCTGCTGCTGCAGCACCTGCAGCAACAGCAGCAGCAACAGTAGCACCGCCACCTGCTCATAGTGCTGCAGAAGCGCCAATTGCAGCACCAGCAGCAGCAGATCCAGCAACAGCAACAGAAGCAACAGCAGCAGCAGCAGCAGCAGCAGACAGCAGCATTTCTCCGTTTGCTGCTGCACCTAATGTTAAAACAAAAAAAAGTAAAATTAAAATCAGAAAGCCAGCAGCAAAAGAAGTGCATGCATCAGCAGCAGCAACAACAGCAGCAGCAGCAGCAGAACCACCGCCAATCCCAGCAGAAACCGGAGCAACAGCAGCAGCAGCAGCAGCAACAGCAGCAGCAGCAAGTACACGTATATCGAGGAAGCGGCGGCAGCAAAAGGAAGAGACGGGGGCCCCCAAGGGTTTGCCTCTCTGTCTTCAATCTGCTGCTGCGCTGCACTTCTTGCGGCAGTGTCTTCCTCCTGCTGCAGCAGCAAAGCAGCAGCAGCAGCAGCAGCAGCAGCAGCAAGAGCAGCAACAGGAGCAGCAGCAGCAGCAGCAGCAGCAAATACTTCAGCAGTCTCTCACAGATGTTCATACATCGCTGGCTGCCTGGCATTTAACATATGAAGCCCTTCAGTGCTGCAGCAGCAGCTGCAGCAGCAACAGCAGCAACAGCAACAGCAGCAGCAGCAACAGCAGCAGCAGCAGCAACAGCAGCAGCAGCAACAGCAGCAGCAGCAGCAGCAGCAGCAGGAGCGCTTTCTCCAGAGAGAGCGGAGAGTTTGGTTGTCTTTTGGCTGTAGGCGTATCCTCAGCTGTGGCGGCCCGAGCTGCTGCTGCTGCTGCCGTTTACTTACAGCAGCAGCAACAGCAGCAGCAGCAGCAACAGCAGCAACAGCAACAGCAGCGGCAGCAGCAGCAGCAGCAGCGTTTATCTGCTGCTGCAAGTGCTGCTGCACCCACATCTTCAGAGGGGATTGAAAAGGGCCCGAACGGCTGCTCTGGCCGCACTGCAGCAGCAGCAGCAGCAGCAGCAGCAGCAACAGCAGCAGCAGCAGCAGCAGCAGGCGATGCAGCAAGCAGCATATTTCCTCCTGTTTGGGTGGTTTGTGAGGATGAGATGCAGGCGGCGTTTGTTGCTGCTGCGCTGCAGCAGCTCCTTGACCCCTGCACCAGCCCCCAGCGGCAGAAACAGCAGCAGCAGCAGCAGCAGCAGCAGCAGAAGCAGCAGCAGCAGCAGCAGCAGCAGAGAGGAGCTGGATCTGTCTGCTGCGTTGTTAAATATTCTTCTTCTGTCCGGGATCGAAGACATCTCGGGGTTATAATGAAAAAGAAAGCAGTTGCTGTTTTCTCTGCTGCAGCTTTTGCTGCTGTTGCAGCAGCAGCAATGCAAGAGCAGCAGCAGCAGCAGCAGCAGCAGCAGCAACAGCAGCTACTGGATGCAAATGCTGCAACGGATATGGCTGCAGTGGATCCGCAGCAGGAGGGGCCCTCAGATGCAGCAGGGGAGAACAGCCGTGAGCAGCAGCAGCAGCAAAAACAGCAGCAACAGCAGCAGCAGAAGCAGCAGCAGCAGCAACAGCTGCAGCAGCAGCAGCTACTAATGGTGAGGGATTGCACCCTGCTGCTGCTTCTTGAGGCCCCCAAACTGCTGCAAGACAAATCCCTGGCTGAGGCCTTCGCCTTCTTTCGCAGCAGCAGCAGCAGCAGCAGCAGTTGCAGCAGCAGCAGCAGCAGCAGCAGTTGCAGCAGCGGCAGCAGCAGCAGCAGCGACAGCAGCAGCAGTTGCAGCAGCAACAGCAACAGCAACAGCAACAACAATAGCATGAGTAGCAGCAACAACACGAGCAGCAGCAGCACCAGCAGCAGCAACAGTAGCATTAGCAGCAGCGGCAGCAACATGAACAGCAACAGCAGCAGCAGCAGCAGCAGCAGCAGCAAGCAACGATGCGTTGTGTGCTGCAGCAGCTTTTTGCCGTTTTCTATTAAGGAGCTGCAGCAATGGAGGGGGTCTACGCGAGCAGCAAAGCTGCTGCTTCCTGCTGCACCTGAGCAGATACCGCTGGCAGCAGCAGCAGCAGCAGCAGCAGCAGATGGTTCAGCTGCTGCTGCTGTTGCTGCTGATGATGATGACGAGCTGCAGCACCTCCGTTGCAGCAGCAAGAAAGCGAAGCAGACTTTGCTGCTGCTGCTGCAGCAGCAGCTCTCTCGCTGCGTCCGCTGGGCCTCTCTGGAAGACTCGCAACTACTGAAGCAGCTGGAGCAGCAGCAGCAGCAGCAGCAGCAGCAGCAGCAGCAACAGCAGCAGCAGCAGCAGCAGCAAGCGGGTACCATCGGTGGGTCTGGAGCGCCCACAGAAGCAGCAGCAGCTGGCGGCACTCGGCCTCCTTTTGCGGATACTGCAGCAGCAGCAGCAGCAGCAACAGCAGCAACAGCAGCAGCAGCAGCAACAGCAGCAGCATCAGCTAGCGCTGCTGCAGCAAAACCACAGCTGCTCAAGCCAGAGGAACAGATGGTTCTTATCAGCAGCAGCAGCAGCAGCAGCAGCAGCAGCAGCAGCAGCAGCGAGGACGAGGGGTTTCGGGGGCGTCTCAGCCCTTATAAATCCTCCCCCTTTAAATTCATCAGTCGCCTCAAGCGCAGCAGCAGCAGCAGCAGCAGCAGCAGCAGCAACAGCAGCAGCAGCAGCAACATAAGTAGTAGAAACGGCAAAACAGGTATTGCAGCAGCAGCATTGAAAACCCCAGGGCGCAGCAGCAGCAACAGCAGCAGCAGCAGCAGCAGAAACGATAGAAATGCAGGTAGCAGTAGCAGCCCTTTCCTTGCTCGTCCAGCAGCACCAGCAGCAGCAGGAGAAGCAGCAGCAACAGCAGCAGCAGCAGCAACAGCAGCAACAGCAGCAACAGCAGCACGCGTCAGCACTTCTCTGCAGCGGTATCGGCTGCTGCTGGAGGCCTTCAGTGCTGCACTGCTCGCATGCACCGCCGGCCTGAGGCAGCGGGGGCTGCTGCTGTCGAAGCCCAAGCAGCAGCAGCAGCAGCAGCAGCAGCAGCAGCAGCGGCAGCAGCAGCAGCAGCGGCAGCAGCAGCAGCAGCAGCAGCAGGTTGTTCTGTGTCTTGGTGTGCCCGAGGCTGCCATCACCAAAGATGATGTTCAAGCAGCAAGAGCAGCAATACATGAAGCAGAGAAGCAGCAGCAGCAGCAGCAGCAGCAGCAGAAGCAGCAGCAGCAGCAGCAAAAGCGGCAGCAGCAACTCAAAGGCGGCCACCCGCAGGCTATCCAGCGATCTCTGCTGCACCGCAGCAGCAGCAGCAGCAGCAGCCTGCAGAACCAGGTAAATA